CTCTCTCTCTCTCTCTCTCTCTCTCTCTCTCTCTCTCTCTCTCTCTCTCTCTCTCAAAACACACAATATATTAATTTTAAACAAAAAAAATCACATCTTGCACCAGCATCTCAGCTCCAGAAAGCTAAATTTAATATTAAATACACAACTTACCAGAAAAACTCCAGTGAAGTTTAATAAACGTGTCTGTTTTCTATTCTTAGATCAGTCTTATCCTGCCTTTTCCCCACTAACACCTCAGGCCTGGGAGCCACTTTGTGCATAAAAACTCACATTCTCTTTGAAGGCAGGCATTTTATTTTTAAGGTAGAAAAACACACTGATATCAAAACACTAACCAATTAAATATCCGATATGGGTGCCCTTTCACTTCAACAGGAAAAAGAGAAAATACGTCATCATGCATATCAATGAGAACATATTCTGTTACAGGACTTCTATGGTGTCTGCATGATCTAATGCTGTGTCGTAAACATATTGGTAATTTAAATGCCAACGCTGACGCAGTCTGTAATGCAGTCATTTTTCTTGAATTATTAAACTTGGGGTTTTTAATTAAAATAGCAAAGGTTCATTACTTTACAATAAGCAGCGTTRATGCTCGCAGAATATATTTTTTAATTCAAATGTTCCCAACAGAATAGGCAGAGGGAAGCAGATCCTGTCAGTGCTCTGCAGACAAAAGGAGATCATTTTAAGCAGCCTATCAAATAATATTAGGGACATAGTGTGCACACTATAAAGCGATTTACCTCTTACACTGTTTGACGACTTTCATCCATAAGGTGATGATAAACGCCAGTCCTGCTCATCTCCATGTGGAGWTGAATTTGAAACCATAAGGCCAATAACAAAGTCAAGGACACAACCAGCAGAGACAGACCTGCAGCGCTCCTCTCTGACTTCATCTGTCCAGGTTTTCGGTTTGGTTTGTCACCAGAACGAGCAGCTTTTAAAAGCAGACGTGTCTTACTGGATTTAAATTTAGTTAACATGTTGTTAGCAGGTTGCTTTTTTTTTATGCACGGGAGAGGAAAAATGATTTGAAAGCCTGCAAAGCTGATGTGAAGTCAAGGCCTTGTCACCCATCACTCAGTGCTGATTGTGTCAATTTCCCCAAAATAGGAAAATAGAACTAAGATTTTTAACATTGCACTGATTTGTTTTCAGCATCTGATGAATTTACAGGTTGTAAACTGAGTCTACTGGCAGAGTTATTAGTATGTACACTAATTGTTCCAGTGTGCAATGATGATATTAAAAATAATGTATGAATTGAAACAGTTAATCTGACGTGATGAGTTTTTACTCTGTAGAAAACTGATGTTTTTTTTAAGGAATGATGGGCTTCTCCTGCTCATGAATAACAGCAAACAGGCCTGCGCAGGAGGCACCGACGTGATGCTTCATTCAACACCTCAGCAGGAGGTGGGAGCAAAACAAGAGAGTCTGAATCTACCTGAAATCACTGTAGGGGTGAATGATCCAAAATCCAGCAGATTTCACTCGCTCTTGTTCCCGCTCCACCGCCTTCTCGCTCCCAAACATCCGGAGGGAGAACTTGTTGACCCCCGGTTGGAGCATGGCCCCCAGCTGTCTGTGGATGAACCCAGCCTGATATAATCTCTCGTCGTCCGGCAGAATTTGATCGATGCCGTCCAACTTTATGAACCCTGCCTGCTGCTCTGGAGGCTCGCTCGAGGCGCCGCCGCCGCCGCCGCTGGCCCCCTGCGCACCTTGGTCCGGCCGCTCCTCACCTATGGCTCCGGGGGGGCTCTCTTCGCTGGGGGTGACGTCCCCCTCGGTGATGAGGCGCCTCGCCTCGGCCGAGTCCGAGTCGTGCACATGTCGACTCGTAATGGACGAGAGGCTGCCTCGGAACCTCCGACAGTCCCCGTTCGAGCTCGTCTTCGTGGGTCTCCCCATGTCCGTCTCCATGATCACGGACTCCCCACTTTTGGTCTCGCTGATGCCTTTGCAGCTCGCCCCGGAGGTCGGCGACGGCAGAGGCTTCATCCTGATGCTCTTCCTCCGGGTGTCCTTGTCTGCGTCTTCCTCTTCGCCCATTATGGATGCTTTCTGTCCGATGTGCTGTGGCAAACTGTAGAGCCTTTTACGCATGGAGGATTGCAACCTGTCCATTATGACATTGAGACGCGCGCGAGGAAATCTCAATCAGCGCGGGCTATTGGAACGACCACCGCCACCGTCTCCGCGCCGCGCATCTGTTTGTGAGAGCGATCAGGGCTGGAGCTAATCTGAGTCCCTGAAATCCTAGCGCACACGCCACGCGACGCCGTGACTCCACTGAGACAGACGGGAGACGCTCATGGTGACGATCAGACTACCTGACAGTTCGCAGATGTCCTCACGGACAGCCCGGGCGCTCCGCTTGGCCACTGCGTCCTCGATGTGCATCTTTGTGCCGCGCCGACATTGTGCGCAAAAGTGTGTTTGTGTGTGTGCGCGCGCGCGTGTGCGTGTGGAGGGAGGAGGAAACTGCCTGAAAGTCACCTCTTTTTTAGCGTGACATGTGAGAGACGTGCAGACGTACGGTGAGAGATGGACAGCGCGGAGGGGGGGAAAGGTCACGCGCGACAAAGGATGTTCTCACCACATCAGCTCCCTGCCAGCTGCCATCAAAACGACGCGACACGAGCACGCGCACAATAAAACAATACTAATGATACAGTAGAGCATTCCAAGGAGCGCTGACATCACTGATCCATAGTCAGGCTGCGTTTTGGTGAATTGTGAATATTCATGCTGCTGAGCTATTGGGTTGCCATAGGAGCGAGAACTGCAAATAAGCTCAGCCCACCTTGTTTAAAGGGGAATGCTCTTCCCATTCTTAAAATGTAACACCCCCCACCCCCTTAAGTTAAGGCTACAGGTAGCAAGGCAAGTTACCCCCCACACGGGCAAACCCTGTGGTGGACTTGACTCTGAGACGAATGAAACCACCTGTTTTAAACCGTTTTATCGATTTAATCTGCTGCGTAATTTACGCACAAATCTTATAGAATCTGTCTGTCTGTCTGTCTGTCTGTCTGTCTGTCTGTCTGTCTGTCTGTCTGTCTGTCTGTCTGTCTCCAAGGGTCTGCAACTGCGGTGGGGGGCACAATATTTAGTCTCTCTGGAGCAGATCTGACCATTACTGAAATAGAGTGGACAACATACCCATAAGTACAACACAAACTTTTTCCAGAAGTTTTCATGTGACAGAATTATGCAAGGAGCAAAACAGAGTTTGAGTCAGTAGTTTGGTAGCCTGTTAGCCATACCAACTTCCATTTTCTCTCGCCATATCCACCAGAAAATTAAACATGTTTGGCAAATCAATGCATGATGCTGAGGGGAAATAAATTGTCGCAAACACATGACTAAAATAGCATGAAATATTGGATTAAGGCAACATGGCGAAAGCCATTTTGATAAAAAAATAATTAAACTTTAAGTAAATGAAGGTTTCTGCCTTTTTGGAAAAAAAGACAATTAAACATTCAACAAATTGCCTTATTATATTATATAAAAATAGTCTCAATGTTTTTATCTTTAAAAAACTAGAAAGTGCCAGGATTTAAATATTTTTTGCCACACTTTTTTGGTGTAATGTGCAAATATATTACATACACTTTGCACAAAAGGACATTTGTGCTTGGTGGATTATTTTTTTCTTTGGTAATAAATCTTATACCTGAGCACCTGGGGGCACCAGTGGTTCAAAATAAGTGTCAATAGTAGGAGAATAAGCTGATTTGCATTGGCAGAAAAGATATGCCAATTTGTTCAGGTGATCAACCCACTCAGCTCTGCTACAGCTCATCCCACAAATATATGTGACCCATCACATCAAAACGAGGATTAAGTCTAAAGTGGTTTATGGAGAAATAGGCAAATGGAGTTTTGATTAAAACATTTGCAAAAAGTGCATTTTGTCAAAGCACGAAGAATTAATGCCTTATCAATGTATCAATTGAACGAACTGTCTGAAATATAATCATAAAACAAATTTTTGAAGTATTTTTTTAGCAGTAGCAAGAAAAACACCGATTTTGAGCGCAAGCATCTTAATATTTTGAGATTTTCCCTGTGAGATAGAAATGTTTTGTTTCATTCCAGCTGGGAAATCTCAATATTCAAATAATATTTTGAAGTTTCCTCTTTATAAGGACATCAAAAATCCCTCATTAAAATGACATAAAATTAGGATTCAGACCAAGTATTGTTGTATTATTGTAACCAACAAGACAAATTAAGGCATATCTCTGGATCCACTTAAGATATCAGAATGATCCAGGTGTCAAAATGTAGCTTTTAAAGCCAGAAATCTGAAAATGTAGTTAGGTCATTTTGACCAAAGTTGACTTAATCCTCATTTCGATATGCTGGGTGACATATGTTCCTTACAAATGTGGCACAATTTAAAAGGGAAAATAACAGATTTTCTAACAGTATAAAAATACTTTACAAAACACAAATGTCCTTATTTTTTTGTGTTAAGTATGAATTGTGTCATTCTTATTTCAAATGTCAAGTAGTTTTTGCAACTCTGAACAAATCGGACGCCCAAAAGTAATAAAACAAACAAACCCGACACAGTGAGAGTTAAGCAACATTTTCTATGCTACCCACATACTAAGCTGTGATTATGTTATCTATTTGTTTCAAAACTAAAACTAGGCACCTAATTAAAAAGCAGAATATCCGGTAATTAAACAGGAATGTACATGAGGCAAATATATATGATATATGCAATGGGTTGAATATCACTGCTACCGTCTTCTAACATATAATAATGAAATTGTCAGGAATGAACTTCAGCTAACAACAAAGTTATTGTTGACCAATTCATAAGGCACTGTTTTTTACTAAAGAAGACAGCAGTGAGAGCATTTTGTGGACATGGATGGTAGAAATATGCTGCAAAAATAAATCCAATAAAAAGTAAAACCATGCAGAAAAGCATTTTGAGAAAAAAAATGCTGTTCAGAAACTTTTTTTTTATCGCTGAGGTTTTGCAATGTTTTTGTGCACTGATCAAGTTCATGGTTTTACCCATGACTGTCATGGGTTTGAAACAAAAATCTGTCAATACTTTTCCAGCTTTAGGCTATCTCCTGGATCAAGTCAGTGGACCCAGCACTCAAATTTTCATTTTGCACTGCTTTCCTTATATATTCACATTTTTTGTGGTAAATCCTAAAACTTTATATGCCCATTCAAACAACCTCTACACATGAACAAAC